CTCTATATACATCCGTTTTACTCCTTGGCACAAAAATTTTAACAAAACCATCGCAAAACGTGAGGTGTTTTGGCTGAATATTAGCCAACTCGTTAAAACGAAAAAATCCTGCAAAACCTAAAGAACTTATTACGGCAATACGTAAGTCCTTTAAAGATGCTTCCTCAGCGCCATGTCTGTCAATAACGCCTCTAATGATAGCAGGGTCCACGGGTTTTTTTCTTGTGAACTGGATTGGTCCTTGTCCTCTTGGCGCACTCAATCAAGTTCTTGCAACAAGCGTCATCCAAAGGATTGGGACCATCATCAGGAACAAAGGAATGGAACCATTTCAGCGCAGCATGGAACAAAACCATTGCTGCCGGGACCTAAGCTGTTGATCTAATCCAAATAGATAAAGGGCGACAACAGAAGAAGAAAACGGCAACTGTAGCGCAATTTTCCGAGTCCTGTGACCACAGTAAAAACTTGTTTATATATTAGATATTTCTTCGCAGTAGAGTCCGCCCTAGAACAAAGTAATCTACTAAATAAAGAATGAAAATCCGGCCTAATAGCAGGAGGGAGCACCATCTATGCCTTAATTGCAACTACGACCTGCAAGAAAAAATTATATCACCAAAATTTTGCAACAACAGGATAGCGACTTTATGAAATGTAACACAAGCGATGACAGCGATTCTAATAAACGGCCCCATGCCTATGACGCAATGTCTGCAGAAAGCAGAATAGAAATTAACCACAGCGACCTCCCTGGGGCAAAATAGGCAAGCAAAGTAGCTCCTAAACAAAGCCATAGCGAATAACCTACAAAGAAAACTAATAACAACGCGTAAAAACTGCAGATATATCCTAAACGCGACTTGCTCTAGCAGATGATTTAAATCTCCCAAAAAGGCCCCATAAACGACAGGCAAACGAATATAAAGTAGGCAACACCCTATCTAGGACACAGTCAGCTCGAACACTTAAATAACCTAACAATCAGCAAAAAACAAAGTTACAGCCTTGATAAAGAAAGGTAAATAACCTAAACTAACAAAAATAACGCAGCTCAACCTTGTGAAAAACCTTGGCCAGAATAGCAGGTTGAGTTACGATTCGCTAACCAGTGTCAAAAAAGGACAATTTTCCATACGTGAACAGGTCTCCCATTGTCGAGAGAACTCGAAACCTCGTTCTACTAACAAAAATCCAAAACGACAGAAATCTTCTCTAACGGACGCAGACGTCCCTTCACATTACCAGTGTCATATACTCTGGACACAGCTGTCCATGCTACTAATGACCAGTGTCAAATCCTGCAAATACCAGTACTAAAAGCTAGTTCAGAATGACCTACTCGAAGGGCAATAAAGGTTGGATAATCCTACAAAAATTCAAATCTAAGCGCGGCAACCTCGCCTGTAAAACGAGGCGAACCAAGCAATGAACTTAAATTTCTTCCCAGGGTGAGGGCTTGGGATGCATTCAGCGTAAAGCATCCTTTCATAAACAACCGATATTTACTTGTCAGAAGAGGCCAAAAACTCGACGAAGGCCACAATGGGACTACAAGAGTAGCCATTGCTTTCTGTAGGCTCAGATAATGGATAACGCGAGCGACAAGAGAAACTGGAGGAACCACTAAACAGTTCTCGGAACTTAACTCTTGGGCAAAGAAGTCAATTCCTGATGTACCCGGATTCCAGAAACGCGAAAAGAATCTAGGAAGCTTAGCTGTATAATAATTGGCAAAACAGTCAACTGTATGTGAGCCCCATAACTCCTCCAAACTTAGAAAAAGATCATGCGTGATTTGCCAATCGTCAAAATCTATAAGGCGACTGATATCCACTGCACCTCCAAACGAATAGAGTGCTCCGCGCAAAACTGAAAAATTTAAATAGCAAGCCTGTGCAAATCCAATTTTGTGCTACCGACTTCTATAATTCTAGCCGCCGTCTGGCTATCAGTGAACCACTTGACCAGTGAACCTTCCAAAATTGGCGCAAAAGACCCTAGCGAAAAATCAATGGCTGCAAGTTCTCTCCAAGTAGAGCTCTAAGAACATTCTGGAGGCTCCTAAAGCTTGTGACACACACAATCCTCATTACGGGTAATAACTGAACCGCACCCTGTAGCGCTGGCATCGGAATAGGCGAAACGCTGTGGCTTATTAAAGGGAAAACAATCGCGCACTTTGATGGAATTTAGGTTGTTTCTCCAAAAATATAGCTCCTCAATGCAATAAGAATCCATCTTAACTTTCGCGTCCCAGTGCTGCGCGCTTAATGTAGACATAATGCAGTGCCTAGTCATGATCCTAGAAATGTTCCCTGAAACAGGCGCTGTAGAAATTATCTGCCCTGTAAAAGAGGCCAATCTTCTGGCAGAAAGAACAAAATCGGAGTCCATAATACTGTCAATGGTACAAGTTATTTTGGCAACCCTCCTATCAACAATTTCAATGGTTCCACGAGCGCTGTCCCAAGTGATACCCAACCAATCAAGCTTCTGG